CTGAAGTGCTATAAGCCTAATCACAGCATCAGTCCTATGGCTACAGAGTAGCTGGTGACGCAGAGCCCCAGAGAGGAGCCCAATAGTTCTGGCCATGGACTTGAGCCTGGAGAGGGGAAGGGGTACGTTACTAATTACAGTGTGAAGAGGGATGTGTGGTCACTATGAGAATGGAAGAGTTCTGAAACTGGAATCAGGCCCATAGAGCTCCCACCCTCCACCCTCCACCTGCTGGATTCAGCTGACCATTCAACCTCTGACCCTCGATTCTTCACCCAGAAGCAGAAGTTACCTGGCTTCTGGGGGTACAGCTCTGAATACCCAGAAGATGAGATTGTGTCCAGTAAGGGCTCTGAGTCAATTCTATGTCACAGAGCATGTAGTTTGATCTGTTGTAAATAATGCCATAAAAGTGCTATGGATATTTATACCTGGTATTGGGACAGAAAAGGTTTGTTGTCTAAGCTTTGAAGTTGGTTTCCTGTGTGGCACTTTAAAGTGACCTAGGGTCTTTCACATGTCTCAGGTAGAAGTAACTGAGTGGTACATAGAAAATCTAATAATATGCTACATTGAAGGGTTGTTTTTTCCTTAGACATTTTTTTTTCTTTCTTTCCTGGGGATTGAACCCAGGGCCTTGTGCATGTGAGGCAAGCACCAACTGAGCTATATCCCCAGCTCCAAATTTTTGATATTTAAAAACAAAACAACAACAACAAAAAACGGACGCTTGGTGGTACATGCCTATAATCCCAGATATTCAGGAGGCCGAGGCAAGAGGACTGAAAGTATGAGCCCAACCTAGGCAATTTATTGAGACCCTGTCTCAAATGATAAAAAGGGCTGAGTGTAGGGGCTGGTGTTGTGGCTCAGCGGTAGAGCACTTGCCTAGCACATGTGGGGTGCTGGGTTTGATCCTCAGCACTACGTAAAAATAAAGGTATTGTGTTCAACTACAACTAAAAATATTTTTTAAAAGTGGGGTGCTGGGGTTGTGGCTCAGTGGTAGAGCATTTGTCTAGTGTGTCCGAGGCCTGGCTTCAATTCCCAATACTGCAAGCAAAAAATTGGTAGCAGCTTTATTGAGATGTAATTCCCGTACTTTACATCTCACAAGTTTAAAAGTATACTCTTCAGTAGTTTTCAGTATGCTTACAAGTGTGTGCACCCAGCACTGCAGTCAACTTGAGAATATTTTCTAAAGACAAGACACCTGTGCTCTTTAGTATTTGCCCTACATTTTCCCCATACCCAGCCCCAACAACTGCTAACCACTGATCTACTTTCTGTAGGGGATCCTTTTTTTTCTTGGGGATATACTAGGAATTGAACCCAGGGGTACTCTACCACTGAACTACATCCCAGCCCCTCTTTTTAAAAAATTACTTTTTATTTGAGTCAAGTTCCCCCTAAGTTGCCCAGGCTGACTTTGAACTTGTGATTCTTCTGCCTCAGCCTCCCAAAGTAGCTGGGATTACAGGTGTGCACCCCTGCAGTGACTGGGAATGTTTTTAAATTTTTTTTTTCACCACCCAAGAAGCATCATGTTGAGAACTTTTTTTTTTAATGCATGGCACAGAAGTCCTCTCTAGGAGGATGCTGTGGCCACACAAGCATTGGCTAGGTGACTTTCAAAGATGTCCAACTATTAGAACAGCTACTGTATTTGGCCAGGGCTTGCTTGCTGTGGCTTATTGCCACTAGGTGGTGCTGCTGCTCCACCCCAGTGGCCCCACACAGTCCTGGCTGGGGTGGGCTATGAGGTTTCCAAGTGTGGGGGATTCCATCTCCCTGCCTGTGGTAGGTGTCAGACACCTGGAGTAACCCAGAAAACGGATTCAGCCAGGGATGTGTCTGCAAGAGAGAAGTGAAATAGGCACCCAAAGCAGGGACATTTGAGTGCCAGTAACAACAGTAATAAGTCCGGGGTTGGGGGCGGGGCACAGCTGTAATCCCAGCAGCTCAAAAGGCTGAGGCAGGAGGATCTGGAGTTCAAGGCCAGCCTCAGCAAAAGTGAAGTGCTAAACAACTCATACCCTGTCTCTAAATAAAATACAAAATAGGGCTGGTGATGTGGTTGAGTGCCCCTAAATTCAATCCCTGGTACCTTCCCCCCAAAAAAAAATAAGGTGGAGGTGGCAGCAGGAGCCCCAGCAGCCATGCTACCATCTTAGGCTCAGAGGATATCATATTAGACATTTTACACCCATCTTCTCCCAGGCATTTATTACGTTTATGTTACCAAAAAAAAAAAAAAAAAGTAACCTTAACTTGCTGGAGGCCATGTGGGCATGATTTGAATACAAGCCTGGAGCACCTGCTTGAATACCCACCCTGCCACCATGCCAGGGAGCTTCCAAGCCAACTATTCCAGCTGACTCAAATCCTTAGAATGGCAAAATCGATCACTTATCCTCTGTGTCAGATGAACCTCTTTGCCATGGAACATGTCCTTGAGAGCTTGAGGATAGTCGCTGCATCTTATCAAGTCGTTTTTTCTCTTAGATAAATCCTCAGTGGTTTTCCTTCAACACGGTTTCGAGACTTCCATTGTCCACTCGCTTTGAGTTGTCAGCATTCTTCAAATGCAGGGGCTTGAAAATCTGCAGGTGCCAGCCCGGTGCTTGTGGCTAACAGTTTAGACCCAGAGTAAAGATTTTTGGGTTTAAATCCTTGCTGCACCACAGGCCAGCAGTGTGACCATGTTAATCCCTATCTCTCCGAGCCCTTATGTCTTCTCCCGAGTCATGAGGATTGTGCGAACCCTCATTTTCTGCCATACAACCCTTTCAGGTGGGCTCAGCCTGGCTTGGTGACAGACAGGCAAGGGAGAACAAACAGCAAGCTGTCACAGTGCTAACAAGCTGGACAGATGACCAGAACCATTAGGAGAAGGGGTTCCTCTCCCAGGGACTTTGGGTCCTTGGTAGAGAGGGTCAGGCTATTGGGAGACATAAACACCCACTGAGATGCCTGACTCAGATGATCAGAAAGTAATTGGCTTATAACTTAGTCTTTCCTTTCTCTTTCTTCCCCCAAGCTTATTTTTTCTCTGCCCACCGCCCCCATACTGAGGGTTGAACTCAGGGGCCCTCTACCACTGAGCTGCATCACCAGCCTGGTGTTAAGTAACTGCAAGAACAACGCAGAGGAGGAAAATTTTATTTTGACTCATGGTTTTAGAGGCCCAGTGTATAGTCAGCTGACTTGGGTCTGGACCCAATGTGAGGCAGAACCTCATGGCAGAAGGTTATGGCAGAGAGAGAGAGAGAGAGAGAGAGAGAGGTTGGTTATGGCAGAGGAAAGCTGCTCAGTCATGGCAGCCGGGAAGCAGAGAAAGAGCAAGGAGCTGGGTGCAGTGAATTCTCAAACGCCTGGAATCTCAGCAGTTCTGGAGGCTGAGGCAGGAGGATCACAAGTTCAAGGCCAGCCTCAGCAATATAGTCAGCCCCTAAGCAACTTAGCAAGATCCTGTCTCAAAATTTAGAGAAAAAGCTGGGGATGAGGCTCAGTGGTAAAAGGCCCCTGAGTTCAATCCTCAGTACCAAACCCAATCAATCAAGCAATCAAAAAGAAAAGAAAGCCAAGGAGTCCAAGGACAGAATATAATCCCCAAGGGCTGCCTCCAGTGACCTTATTCCTCCAGCCATGCCCTTCCCGCCTACCCCAGTAATTCATTCAAATTATTAATCTATCAAATGGATTAATCCACTGATTGAGTTCTAACTCTCCTAATCTAATCATTTCACCTATGAGCATTGCTACATTGGATAACCCATGAGCTTTTCAGGGAATGCCTCATATCCAAACCACAACAAGCCCTTTTTATTTTTATTTTATTTTATATATATTTATATATTTTTATGTGGTGCTGAGAATCGAACCCAGTGCCTTACATGTGCTAGGCAAGTGCTCTACCCCTGAGACACAACCTCAGCCCCCCTTTTTATTTTTTGAAACAGGGTCTCACTAATTTGTTCAGGGCTAGCCTTGAACTGGTGATCCTCCTGCCTCAGCTTCCCAAATCCCTGGGATTATAGGCATGCACACAATACCCAGCTTTTCCAATACTTATATTAGAAAAATTTCCAACAGGGCTGGGGATGTGGCTCAAGCAGTAGCGCGCTCGCCTGGCATGCGCTGGGGCCCTGGGTTCGATCCTCAGCACCACATACAAATAAAATAAAGATATTGTGTCCACCGAAAACTAAAAAATAAAAATATTTTTAAAAATTCTCTCTCTCTCTCTCTAAAAAAAGAAAAAAGAAAAATTTCCAACATAAGTTAGGTAGTATTCAGAAAACCTAGACACAATTGTTCACGTTTACCACTTAAGCTCTGTAGATCTCCATTTACGTATATTTATTTTGCTACTTCATTTGATAATGACAGTCACCATAACCCTTCTTCTCTAAGGACCTCCTAAGCAAAAAAACATTCTCCAAAAGAAACAAGATTGAGCTCACATAAGGAAATCTGTCATATTTTCCTAATATCTAATTTCCTGTTCATACTCAAATGTCCTCAATCATCTCCTATTGTCCTCCCCAAAAGTAGGATCCGATCAAGTTTCAACCATTGCATGGGTTATTTATTTATTTAGGAGTGTCTACCAGGGGTTGAACTCAGGGGTACTCAACCACTGAGCCACACCCCCAGCCCTACTTTGTATTTTATTTAGAGACAGGGTCTCACTGAGTTGCTTGGTGCCTCACTTTTGCTGAGGCTGGCTTGGAATTCAAATCCTCCTGCCCCAGCCTCCTGAGCTGCTGGGATTACAGGTGGGTGCCATGGTGCCTGGCTTGGTTATGTTTTTGTTAATCTCTTTCCTTCTAGAACAGTTTCTTCTCAATGATTTTTTTTTCCATTACATTTTTCCCAGAGAGTCTCAGCTTGATCCTCCCCTTTTGCCCCCCCCCCCCCCAAAGCAGAGCCACGTATTGTTTCTTCAATTACTATTACCAAGGCTTCTCCATAATGACCCATTCACTTGCAGAAGGGGCTCCTGAATTGGGACGACCTTGGTGGGGCTACTCAATTAGGTCTTAGCCCCGCCTATGGCTCCATTTGATTGCAATCTGACTTGATTTTTCTGCTCTCTCCCCCAGAAATTCCCAGGAATGGAAACACCCAGCAGCCCCTTCCACCAACATTGTTTGTCTCTTCTGATGTTGCCCTCAATGCTCTGACTCTGCACATTGTATTTCTGCTAACTTCATCTTACCTACAAAACAGACATTTCCCCCCTTCCACTGCAATAGATACCCCTTTCCATCGAAACTACACCAGAGGTGTAATGAGATCATTGATGTGAACGAAACACAGTACCAGCATACAGTAAGTGCTCAATAAGTACAAGCTATTATTGCCAGGGCAGTGCAAATTGGGGCTCTCCTCTCCTTCCTCCATCTTTCTGTGAGGCCTAAGTTCCTGGTTGCGCTTTGGCCACCCTTTCATGCTAATGAAGTGCTTTGAATTTGTCATTATTTCAAACCTGTAGATCTGTGTGTGACATGCTGTGAGGCTGGCCTTCCTCTTCTGCCTGTGCACGATTGCCTTTAGGGACCCCATGAAGGACTTGCATTTGTCCCTTCATTTCCTTTAGGCTTTGGCCCATAGTCCTAACCTTTTGACTTCATTTCAAGTCTTGGATTTCCTTATTGAACATATTGGTTCTCCCTCCGAATTTTGCTTTCTGCAAATGTGATACCGTGACTCATAAGTCATCATCTGAACCAGCGATAAGAAATATTGAAGGAGACTGGGGCATGCCATCAGAAACCTTCCCCCAGCTCAGTTTCTCAGTGGAAAAAATATTTATCGAGCACCTGTAATGTGCTCTTCCATTGCTTACACATACACGGATGGCCACCATGGATCAGCTAGTCATGTTTAAATCTAACCCTTATTCCTTCATCTTGCCCACCAAGAATCCTGAAAAATTCTGTCAGGTGCTTTGCTAAAATTAAGCCTATGGTATGTATAACAGTGCCTCCTGGTACCAATCTACCAACAATGGAAATGAGGCTGATTTGACAAATTATCCTTCCTGAGCCACACTGGCCATCAGTAATGCTGCCATCTTTTTAGAGGACTCAAAACCTCTCTGCCAACAGAGCTTCGTCAGACATCTGTGATTTCTAGAATCCTTCCTGCAGTCTTTCTCAAACCTGGGCAACATGGGCCTGCTCCAGTTTCCCCCCACCCCTCTCAGCTTCCTGATTTCTTGGTATTTACCGGTAGGGGTTCTACACTCTTGACTGAATTTGTACAGTTCTTGATTGCATTTGGTTGGAATCAAGAGTTGAGCCCAGGCATAGCAGAAGGGCCCTCCCTGAGTGCTACATCAGCCATCTTAGGTCCTAATTTCTCTATGATCTTTCTTACAATCCTTTCCAGGTTGCCGATTATTCTCTTTAGTAAAAGAAAACAGAAGGCTGGGTATGGTAGCACACACCTGTAATCAGTGGCTTGGGAGGCTGAGGCAGGGAGATTGCAAGTTCAAGGCCAGCCTCAGCAACAAAGAGAGAGCCTGTCACAAAATTAAATAAATAAATAAATAAATAAATAAATAAATAAATAAAAGGGCTGGAGATGCAGCTCAGTGGTGAGGCACCCCTGGGTTTGCTCTCCTGTACTGTAAAAATAAACAAAAAGAAAATGAAAGAACATTGGGAGAAAAGAGACTTTAGATTTTTTTTCAGACTTTTATTACCATCACATCATCTGTTTTGAACAATGGGGTCTATCTCTTCCCTGTTATTCTTGCCTCTGGAGAAAAAAAAAAATCAGCTTTTAAAGGCCTCTTTTGTTACATTTGCATTTTATTACTGCTTCCATCATTCTGGCTTTCAATAATAATAGTATTAATACCACCTAACATTTACTGGGTACTTGCATTTTATGCACTGTGATAAATGTCTTACATATTCATCTCATTAGTAAACACTTCTGAAACTATTCATTCTGATAATTTGTCCTTTAGTTTCTCTCATTCATGTCCTCTTAAAATCTGTGGCAGCCACTCGTGTTTCTTTAAAAGCTGCTCTTCTACTTCCTTCTAGATAGTGGGTCCTACCTCTGAGGTCAAGACACTCACCTGGGCACCTGACAGTCCAGCCTTCCACCATCTGCAGGAGTGGGGTTCCCTGGGACTAGTTGAGGGTACAAAGTCCAGACTCAGGGTGACCGGTGGCTATGTGAGGGGAGGGAGATGCCAAAACGTCACCTTGGAGGTCTGCAGAGGGTGGATATTTGGGCTGAGCACTGGGTACATAGGAAGGAATCTGTCAATCAGCTTTTCATTACTGTGACCAAAATATCCGACAAGGAGGAAAAGTTTATTTTGGCTTTCAGAGGCTCAGTCCGTGGTCAGTTGACTCCATTTCTCTGGACCCAAGGTGCGGCAGAACATCATGGTGAAAGGGCATGATGGGGAAAACTGTTCAGTTCACGGCGACCAGTAAGCAGAGAGCCGGGAAGGGGAAGATGAATCCTTCCAGGGCACCCCCCCCCCCCCCCGCAATGACCCACCTCCTCCAGCCCTCAGTCACCAGCTGCCTACAGTGAACCACCCATTTAGTCCTTTCAAATTATGAATCCGTCAAATGGATTAATCCACTGATGAGGTCACAGCCCTCATTATCTAATTATCTCACCTGGTCACACAGGAGCTTTTCCCTGGGAACACCTCATATTCAAACCTAACAGAACCCAAAGGTTGAAGTCTGGGGAGCCTGGGCAGGTCTGGAAGTGGAGAGGAGGAGGCTGTGGATGGGGCTGTGGGCTGTGTGAACCCCTCATTCCTTTTTTCATCAGTGAGGGTCAGAATTGGGTCCAGAGGAGTGGGCCCATCCTCTGCCTCCTCAGCTGTCAAGAGGCTGAAAACAAGCAGGTAAGATGCTCCACCTTTAGCAAAATGAATCTTTGTGACAATTTCCCAAGAGCCAAACTTCCTTATCACTCCTGGATCTTGCTTCTGTTCTGCTCTGTGATTTGCATATTAAAAAAAAAACAACAGACACAGCCTCCCCACCGTGCTGTCAAATCTTTGCACTAAGAGACTGTTTTTGCAAAATCCTCTCCTGGGGCCAAACACAGGGGAGGTGTTCAACATATATTTAGTGAGTTAATTAATGGAATTGTAGGGGCAAAGGGAACCTTTGTCTTCTGATGTTTCAATGAAAGGAATCGACAGATTAATCCAGAGGAAAAAAATATACACATTTATTTAAGGTGCACAAGGGAAATCAGAGCAGAGTGATCACATTGTTACTAGGGACATTTAAATGTTTATATACTTTCTTCATTTGACAGAGGGAGGTAAGGGAACGTAGGTAATTTTGAGGGATAGTAAATAATTTTTAGAGGCAGCGAATGTGCCAAGAAGAAGAAAATAGTTTGTGGATTATTCTCTTTGGAAGAATGGATGGATCTAGGAGGAAAAGTCCATCCAGGTGTGGTGATGGCTCTGTTTCCCTTCCTACCACATGAATTTAGTTAAAACAAAACAAAACAAAACCTTAGAGACAGGACCCAAGGCAATTGTTTTCCTCTTTGGCAGGTCTTTAGGCAGGAAAGGGAATCTCAGATTAAAGCATTTTCCAGTGCCTCTGGTCTCCAAGGGCCTTTAATTTAAAATAATCAGCTTAGCGGAGTGTCACATTTTGGGGTAAAATTTCTTGAGCTCCTTCAAAATCAGAGTACTCTCCTTATGGTCCCCTGGTGGAGTGATGTAGAGAAGAGGCCCAGAGCAATAGAATTAGTGTTTCTTTCTTCTTTTAACTGACCCTAGAAATTCTTCACCAGGCATCTCTTCTCAAAAGTGTGTACGTTTCCAGGCAGGTGTTTTTGTGCACAAAGACTGTTCAATATCTATTACTGATCGGTTCACTGAAGGCCCCCATAGAGACCAGCACCCCAAAGGAGCACGTATTTCTATTTGCAAATCACAGTAAATATCTTAGGGATGTGTATGCAGTAGGCAGTTACTAAAAACTAATTAGGGAACACAAATATGTAAAGGTGGTAAATTGGCAAGAAAAAAACCGCAGCAGAGATAATCAAATGACCAAATCATATGGTGGAATCCACTTCCCAGGGTCCTGCATACAGGAAGAGGTAAGATCTGTCTTCTAATCAGGTTTCAGTTTGGATAACCCTGGAATTAGCAGGAGGAATGGTAGCTGTTCGCTTCTATTTTTGGAACAAACTCCTCCGATACGTGAGTTGGGTGTTAGACGTTGTCCCAGGATCCATTTACCATGGGCCATGGCTGAGTGGATACTTCACAGGTGGCTAATTGAATGTCAGCTTGGCTGGGTTGTGACAGTTTGTGTCAACAACATTTAAAGCGCAGAAATTTGGATGGCCAAGTAACAGAACACAACTTAAGAAATTACAGGTTTCAAATTTCAGAAAAATTGGTGAATTCAGACAATTTGAGTATCTCCCTCCCGTCAGGGGAGACAGACTTGGGCCTCTAAGTTCTGGCCTCCAGGGGCTTGCTGCAGAGACAGGCTCTGAAGAGAATAAAAATAAAAAATAATAATGTCCTCAATTATCTTGCCAGCTAGAGAGACGTTTAAAAAATCCACCCTTCAAACCTCCACAATCTTCTTTAAGTAGCTCAATTTTCTGTGTTTTGGCGACAGAGTCGGGAGGCTCTTCTGTCTGGGGATGTTTGCTCTCCCAGGCTGCAGTGGGTGGCGCTCACAGGGAGAGGCTGTATGACAGACCCAAGCAACAAATTCTGGCTCTCAGCACCCTCCGACCCGCAAATCTTTGCTTCATCTTCTGCCTTATACCTTTCTCCACACCAGGAACGACAGCTGTAGAGTGCAGAGATTTTGGGCAAAGGGCTTGTGCGGGAATTAGGGCCAGCACTTCGGCCAGCTAGTTGGGTGACTCTAGTTTTCTGGGGCTTAGTTTTCCATCTTATAAAATGGGTATGATAATACTTGCCCGAATCATTTCAGGCGGCTGTGGAAAGCAGACAATGCCTATCTGACTCAGCTGTAAAGGACTGTATCGGATGCTGGCTGTTGCCCACAACCATCACATAAAGCTGATGATCACCTTGGACCTGCCTCAGTAGCCCTCAAATTGGTGCGGGGCTGTCCTGCAGATGGCGCTGTGGCACGAATAATCGTGCTCTCCATAAAGCTGGGCAGCTGCCCTTAGATCCCAGGGTTTTGGCTATATAGGTAGGTCCACCCTGGATTTCTTCTACCTGTATGTCCTGCGTGTGTGGCCCTCACAAAATGTCCCCAATGGTCATTTGGTACCTGTGACCCTTTTTTAAAAATAGTTTTTAAAAAATTGTATATGGACACAATGCCTTTATTTATTTTTATGTGGTGCTGAGGAGAAAACCTAGTGCCTCACACATGCTAGGCAAGTTCTCTACTAAAACTTGACCTAAAACTCCAGCCCTCAAGTGACCCTTTATTTTATTTTTTTAGGCTCTCCAGTGCACAGAGCCCTGGGTCCTTCCTTCCCCTACCCATCTGCGGACAGGTTGAGCCCATCTCCCTAAACTAAGACGCTCCTTTGGCCCCTGGGGACTGCATAGCATTGGTCTGCTGCCCCTTTGACCTCTGGGGAGCATCCTCTCATTTGGATGACTCCCTTGCCTCCATCCACCTGAGACAAGGCTCCACTCTGGGAAACACCAGGGTTGTGACTTAGTTTTCCCAGCCATGCTGGGGAAATTGACAATCTAAGACCTCAGGCAATGCAAAAAAGAAGTTCCCAAACCCCGTCCCCCCCCCCCCCCCCCCCCCCCCCGTCGTGGGGCTCAGAAGACAAAGGCTGACCTTTAGAACCTTTCAGACTTTATGGCCCAGACTGGAGAGCTGGGCTTTTGGAGAGCTGGGCTTTTGGAACCTGAGCTCCATTTGGTATTTGTGTGACCAGGGGCCTCTCAAGGAATGCCCAAAGTCTCCCTCCCTGTCTACAGAACAGTGAGAAGATCCCTGCCTCCGAGGATGCAGACATGAAGATTGGCTGGAGGAGGCCCAAGTGTTGGTAATTATTATTCCATGAGAAAAGTAATGGGTAGGTGGTGTCAGACCAGGGAAGAGAAAAGAGAGCTAGTGAGGGGGAATTCTGGGGAGGAGGGCTTCTTGGGTGACCCTCACAAACTGCTGTGGGTGTCCACCCTTACGCTGCTGACCCCCCAGGGGCAGCCACACTGTCAGGGATCTGGCTAATGAGCTGACCATCTGGATGGCTGTTTCTGAGGCTTTGAGAGCTGGGCTCCTTTGACCACAGTTGACAGTGGAGACCACCGCCCTCCCCATCAGCAATATTGCAGCCAGAACTGCAGGGCCAGTGGGCACAGGGTCCCATCTCTAGGACACCAATGTAGAGGCCAGCGGTCACAGCCTGTGCTGAGCAGATCAGGAGGGATCTGGGACTGCCACTGCCTCCTGGTCAGATTTTGTGCCCTTGAGGCACTGTCTCCTCCCTGTCCCATTAACACAGTTCCTTATCACAACTACTATATTTGTCACACAGCTGGGGTAGAAATGCAGGTTCTGAGGCCACCATCTGGGTTCACACCCAGCTCCCACATGCGTTAGTTGTGGGACTTAGACGAGTTCCTTAGCCCCAGTGTGGCTCCAGCTCCCCGAATGCAGAGCCGAGTAGTGAGGGTTCTTCAGATTCATGCTGGTAAAGGGCGTTTAGTCCTCTGGCCCACTGTGCATGGGGTCTGGGAGTGGGGTCATCTCTGTTGTCCTGGTGCCCTGTGAGCCCCAACCTCTTATCTCTTTCTTTTCTTTCTCATTTATCTTTTTTCGGTGCTGGAGATTGCATCCAAGGCCTCGTTTGGGCCAGGTGAGCTGTCTGCCACTCAGCCGCAGCAGCCCTTCTCCCTTTCTCAAATCAATCTAGGTCCCTGTCCACCTCTGCACAGGTCTGCACACTGAACAACATCCAGACCATGCTCCAAGCCTGGCTTAGAACAACAGACACAATTGGAGGGGTTAAAGCTTAGAAGTCCAGCTAGATAGAAGGATCCAGAATAGGAGATCAAAAGATTGAAGCTCTTTTTTTTTTTTTTTCCTAATGAGTAGGAAAACTGTTTTAGGAAACTGTCTCTAAATATATAGAATTGAACCCCCTGTTTCCATCTGAGGCCACCCACAAACCTTGAACTGCCCCACACTGGATGGGAAGTGAGATAGGTCTTCCCAGGCAGAAAGCCAGGGGACACCTTGGAGGCTACCGAGGAAAACCAAAAAGCCATTTAGTTCCAATTTTCTAATGCAGAATCATTAAGGGTTCCACTAGTTTGCTTTTAAAATGGAGAACAGAGAACATAGAGTGATTTAATAAATTAAGGAAATAGAAAAAAAATTCTTTTGGTTCTATCATCCTGTTAAGACAACAGGGAAGAGGGAATGCAGAGGGCCAGGGAAGGAATGGGAGCAGCCTGGGGGTGGGGGGGCGAAGGAGGGAGGGGAAGAGGGAGGGAGATGAAGGTAGAAACTCCGGCACCCACACACTGGCTCCCGTTTTGATCTCATCAAAGCCTTGTTTTTCAAAATTAATGTTCGGTTTTGTTTGTATTTTGTGGTTTTGGTCAGAGTAGGAGAGCAATTTTGAACACATTTCTCGGTTGCTTTCTGAATTCTAGAGTTAGAAATCGCCCATGAGAAGTTCCATGCCTTTCTTAGTATTGATCTCTTTTTTTTTTTCCCTTAATTTTTTTCCCTCTCTCAAAACTTTCAAGATCTTCTTTCATCTTCATATACATTACCAAGAAGTTAGTGTGGGCCTTTCTTCATTCCTTGTGTTAAGGGCTCATGGGCTTCCCACCCCCCCAACTGTTGGGAGAGACCCCAGGGTCTTGGAAATGCTAAGCACCTGCCCATGGAGCTGCACCCTCAGCCTCCACGGGCTTTTAAACTCCGTCAATGCAGGCTGTTTAGTCCTTGGAAACATCTTTAATATTATTCTGTTGATAATGGACTCCCTTTCATTTTCTCTATTTCTTTTGTTGGGTGTCCTAAGTAGATTTTCTATTTTTCCTATTTTTTTTCTTTTTTATCTTTCATACTTTACTTGTTTCCACTTTGAATAATTTCCTCGATAATATTTTCCAAAGCTCTCTATGGAAGTTTTTATTTCTGTTATCATGTTTATAATGTTTCTTTTCTCTGCTAATTTTTAAAAACATCTTTTTGGGGGTTTGCACACTCCACATAACATAAAATTCACCCATTTTAAGTGTAAAATTCAATGATTTTTAATACATTTCTAGAGGTGTATAACTGCAACCACGATCCAATTTTTTTTTGGAGTGGGGAGGGATACCAGGGATTGAATTCAGGGGCACTCGACCACTGAGCCACATCCCCAGCCCTATTTTGTATTTTATTTAGAGAAAGGGTCTCACTGAGTTGCTTAGGGCCTCGCTAAGTTGCTGAGGCTGGCTTTGAACTCTCGATCCTCCTGCCTCAGCCTCCCGAGTCGCTGGGATTAAAGGCGTGTGTCAAGACATCCAGCTCCAATTTGAATTATTCCTTTGCACATGGTCTTTTGTCCTAGTTTCATGTGTGAAATATCTTCTTTTACTTTCTGTATTTCTGTAGCTATTAATGACTGATTCTTTGACATTTTCTTTTCTCCAAGTTTCTCTCGGTTCTTGTTAGTCTGCCGGATTTAGTTTCTTTTATGTTGGAGACATTTCTCAAATTCTTATCCTTTTTGGTTCATTACTATTTAAGAATCACATATTTAAAAGCCAGCTAATGCTGCCTAGGGGGATGTCACTTGTCAATTGATGAGTTTCGCCATAGGACTATAGGTACTGGCCATTTCCTTGGGGATCCCCAAATATCAGTAGCAGTGAGTCTTTTCTAAGGGCCATCAATTTCTTTAGTTGTTTTGGGGTATAAAATACAGTTAGATAAAAAGAATCAGTTCTAGAAGGGTAACTATAGTTTACAATAATTTATTATGTATTTCAAAATAGCTAGAAGAAAAGATTTTGAATGGTAAATGTTAGAGCTGATGAATATGCTAATCACCTCGATTGGACCATTACACGGTGTATTGACATATCACATTGTTCCCTATAAATAGGTACAACTTCTTTTTTCTTTGCTACACTGGGCATCAAACTTGGGGCCTCACATGTTCTAGGCAAGCACTCTTATCACTGCGCTATATCCCCAGCAGAAATGGGTACAATTATTATGTGTCAATCAAAAAAAAAATTAAGTACTTAGTATAATGCCTACCACCAATAAAGAAAAGAATCCATGAATCCACCAACCTCCTATCTGAGGGGCTGGTGCACTCTGGTTGCTGATATCTTTGGAGATATATGGTGGAGGAGGCTGGGTATGACTTTTGGATAGATTGTCATTTAATCCTTTTTTTTTTTTTTTTGTACTGGGGATTGAACCCAGAGGCACTTAACCGCATGCCCAGCTCTTTTTTGTATTTTATTTAGAGACAGGATCTCGTTGAGTTGCTTAGGGCCTCGCTAAATTGCTGAGGCTGGCTTTGAACTCATGATCCTTCGACCTTCATTGGGATTACAGGCTGTGCCACCAGCCACCTTCATTTAATCTTGTTGGGGCTCTGGCGCCTTTCCCTCCTGCCCTTCCTGTTCCCGTGGGCTTTGGACCCTCAATTTATCCACAAAACAATTCTCCTGTTGGCTTGGGGGAAGGTGGTCCCCTAGCTGTGCTGGACAGCAGAGGAGCCTTGGGATGTCCAGCTGCTTCTTGCACCAACTTTCAGCCTGTCATCCGCTCTCCCACCCCACAAGTCCTCCCTACTCCTCCAGTCCCCGGTGCCTGCAATCCTGTGCCTTGCCAAGACTTCGCAGCTTGAGTTGGCTCTCTTCTCGCTGGCTTCCCCCTGTGTGGGCACATGGCCTTCAGATGCCTCCGTGCCCGTGCCGCCCCCCCCTCCCCAGCTTTCCAGCTTCCAAAAATCTGTTAACAGCTTTTATCTTCTGCTGAGTTTTCCCCTCTTATTCTTTGTGTTCTGGTGGGCGTGTCTCTTTCTATTCCTTAACTGAGTACTTGAAGTACTTGAAGTCAGGTTGCAGAAAGAACCGACAGAGAAATCCATGGGCTCCATTTGCCAGGTTTACGATGTGATGTTAGAGACTTTTTAAAAATCTGAATTTCAATGAAGCTTATGGTTTTTAACTTACGCAAGCATAAAAATAGTACTTATTTACAGGGTGCCCAGGGACGTTTGGGTACATGTATACACTGTGTAATGTTTGAATCAGGGAAGACAGGTCCATCTCCTTGACCCTTTATGATTTCTTTATGGTGAAAACGCTCAAAATCTTTTCTTCTGCTTTTTGAAATATACAGTGCAGTCGCTGGCAGCCGCCATTCGCTCTCAACCTCCAGAAGAGCAGCATTTTTAGATTCCACATACGAGCGAGATCACGTGGGACTCGTCTTTCGGTGTCTGGCGTAATGTAACCATCTCCTGTTCCATCCACGTTGGATGACAGAATTTCATTCTGTTTTTAGGAACACCTCGTCTTCCATGATATGTATGTGCCACGTTTTCTTTACCCACTTGATGGACACGTAGCTGTTTCCATTTCTTGGCTGCTATGAATGGCACCGCAATAAAAACGGGAGTGCGGATCCTCTCCAACCTACTGATTTCATTCTTTTGGCTATCTGTGCAGGAGGATTGGTAGATGGTGTGGTAATTTCTATTTTTAATTTTTTTTGAGGAACTTTCATACTATTTTCCATAATGGCTGTCCTCATTTATATTCTCACCAACAGTGTGCAAGGATTCCTTTTTCTCCCATCCTCTGCAACACTCGTTATCTTTTTGATCATAGCCTTTCTTACTGCAGTGAGGCCACATCTGTGGTGTGGTTTTGAAAGAGGAGAGTCTTTCAAAGCTACATTGTGTTTTTGCCACCATGGACATAAGGGGACACAGGGGAGGCCTATATATAGTCTGTGCTGGATATGTTGTAGACAGTCTGGTGACCAGAGTGATCTTTCTAATCTGGGTCACTGATTCTTAAAAATGATGTGAGAAACTGAAGGAAATCCTGAGAAAGGAAACCGATGTGATCAAAGGGATGGTTCTTTGATCCAGGGGTAGTTGGAATGTGTTGGTGGGGATGGGGAAGATCAGGGGTGTTTGATTATTTGTTGAGTTCAGATTCTTTAAAGGGGCTCTGTCCTGGTACATCCTCCATGGTCCTGTTTCGTGTTAGTGTAAACTTCTAAGCTCCCACAGAACAGGAAAACTTGAGGGTGGAGTAGAGGTGGGCGGAGAGAGACTAAGGCTACATCAGTCAGGATGGGTTGGGCTATGCTGCAGTAACAAATGAACACTGGAATTTCACTCAGTTAATACAACAAAGGTTTATTCCTTCCTAATTTTACCATCCTATTGCTGCTTGGTAGTTCCCTCCAAGGGATGAACCAGGGACCCAGGCTTTATTTGCCTATAGATCTGGACTCTCTGGTACACATGCCTTTCCAAAATTCTGCAGAAAAGCTCAGAGAACTGAAAAGTCATGCACTTACTTTAAAGGGCCAAGACAGAAGTGCTTTATATCACTTCCACCACATCCCATTGGCCAGGACTGTCACATGATCTTAAATTTCCTGCAAGGGAGAATGGAAATGTGCTTCTTTATGTGCTCTGGAGAACAGTGTGGTAAACACGTTACACTGACTCTGTTGTCTGTCTGCCAGGTCTTTGGAAGGACACATCAACATCTTAGGGGAAGGGGAGATAGAATCTCTAAGCCCACACACAAAGCCTGAACAAAAGGAAAGGATGTTCAATTGGAGTCAGAGACAGCAGGCAGAATAAAGAGAGGTTTCTGGACTTTAGGGATTCAATTGTTAGAATGGGCAATTGATGAGAGGTGACATCTATCTTGGCAGGTCGCTGAGAACTGTTTCTGGGATTGGATGGCTCTATCTGCTTGAGGGGCTCCGAGGTTGCAAAGCTGGAGTGTTGGGACCAGGGGTGGATCTGGGTTTTGTGAAGCCTGCTGTGGACACTATTTTGAGTGTCTGCCATAAGAAGAGTAACACAAAATTATGGACACAGGGAGGGGCCCTGGCAAGCAGAGGACATCAAGCACAAACTTACCAGCTTCCCAATAAATTCTCCTCGGCCCATGACTCGTCGGGAGCCAGTAGACTCTCAGGCATCTTCCCCTGACAGACTTGTTCTTCCAGCTTCTAGATCACCCTCTTAAGTAAGTTTCCACCCCCACCCCCCATCTTTAAAAGCAATTTGATGAATGTCCACCATGTGCAAGGTACTGGGCTGGGCCCCTCCCTTACCTGCTTCTGTTGCAGGACTGCATTGGGCACAGGCATGGGAACATCCGGTCCTGACTCAGGGAGCTTCAAGTCTATGCAAGCACTCTTATCATTTGAGCTATATCCCCAGCAGAAATGGGTACAAGGTGGCAGAGGAGGGACATGGGTGCAGAAAGCCAGATGGGCGAGCAGGACCACGTGCAATCTGAGGACTCAGGTGGTCCTCTGTGGACGTCAGACCCCTGGGTGCAGAGCAGAGATCCATGCTGCTCCTTCTGGCTTCTAAAAGGAGATATCCCCGCAGAGAGCCCAGACACCTCGGCAGCCTGCATTGGAAGAGCGGGCTCAGCTGTTTCCTGCGTTCCTCTGTCAGACACATCATCCCTCTTTCGGGGCTGGAGTCAAATGTCACCACGCAGAGTTGGCAGCTTTGCTCTTGGATCCCTGGTCTGGAGCCCAGCTGCCAACCCTGTGCCCACAGTTGTCCCCTACACTGGCCCTTTTAAAGCTGATGGAACTCCAATGTCTGGAGAACTCCAGATCAATCCTAGGTTCCACACACAGCTTCCAAGTGTTTTCCCTTCTCTTAGGATTATTAAGCAGCAGAAATTGACAGGCTTGATAATTCTCTGCCTTCCTGGTCTGCTTATGTGACCAGGTCTGTTGTGGACTTGCAGGGTGACCTTGTGGGTAGGAGCCCTTCATCTGTCTGAACCTCTTTTCCTCATCTGTAAAACTGAGAAAATTGCCCCTTGTGAAGGGCTATTTCTGTTTCTGAGGGCAGAGGCAGCCTGGGCCTGGGGACAGGGAAGGGAACCGGACATCTCACAGCTGTCTTCTGTCCAGCTGCACGGGCGCTGGCCGGGGCTCCCCAGCTGGGACATGAGGTGGAGATAATTAGGCAGGTCGGGGCTCTTGGAAGCCCTGGATTTGCTCTGTGGTTCATGAGGTTCTCCCATCGTTTGCACTGGGCAAGGGCCTGAGAAGGCCGAGGGCCAAAAATAGAAACAGCCAACCTTAAGGTGACGGACGTGCCTGAAAATTTTCACATGGAGACGCATGGTACTGAACACAGACCTGAAAACGCACTTTCAAAAGCTGAAGCAAATGCAAAACAACTGGCACCAGACAGACTCCGTGGCAGAGCAGTGTTGGGGTGAGGGTGGGGGTGGGCAGAGGCTAGCTCAGCCAGAGAAGGGGGCCGAGGAGGAGGTGGGGAGACACAGGGATGGCCCGGCAAGGTTTGGGAAGGGGTGTTTGGGCCCCCCTCCAGAGCCCACCGTGACCCCCTTTTCCACCCAGAAAACCTAAATATCTCCACTATTTATGTACATGGTTTCCTAAACTTCCTAGACTTTCCTCTAACTGGGGGTCCAATGTCTTTAGGGGCTTCATTCATGAACTCGGAAACCCATTGGTATTGTATGCAGAATTTTTGGGGTGTAAAAAAATTCCATGTGGCTGGGCTTCAAATTTTTTTTCTGAAAAGAGAGGCCTGACCTTTCACCTGCTTCTCCAGTGGGTTCAGGACCCAGAACTGCAACCCTCAGTCTAGACCTTGCTGGAGGTAGGAAGAGGCTGGGCCACATGTGATCCCCGCAGGGCCTCAGGGAGGGTGGGGGCACAGGACACTCCCAACTTTAGAGTGGACGAGGCGGGGTGCCCAAAGGAGGGTGGGCACTGGAATCTCGGGATGCACCTTCCTTCAGGGTGTTTGCCCCCGTGGAAGCCACACTCCCTGGCAAGGCCTTGTATGAGAGCCGCAGTCGGCACTCACAGTGAGTCGGGCGCTGTGCTGGGTGTGGGAATGAGAGGAAGATCACATGGTTCCTGTCTGCCTGTGTCACCGTCTAGGGGCCTGGTGGAGCAGACCAATGACAATATGTAACGATACGTGCTATAAATGTAGATGGACGAAAGAGAAGAGAAAATATCGGCTGGCTTAGCTCAGTCTGGAAGCTGGATGCCACCCAGGAGGTGGGTGGCATGGGCCTTTAGTCCAGACCCTAAGTTGGGTCCAGGCTGTGTGACTCCTGAGAACCTCAGTTTCCTGTTAGTGCAATATGATATTAAATGATTATCATTATCGAGCCAGAGGAAGTCATGTCCACACAGTGCATCTGTGAATTGGATCTTAAAGTGGGATTTGACTTCTAGAAAGATCTAGAAGGTCACGGAAAGCAGTCAGGACAGCATAGGTGGAGGCATGGCTCGGGTGTGGCCCCTTGTGCCAGCTCAGCAAGACTTTGGGCTTGGAGGGATTCGCTTTAGATGGTCCAGCGGCCTTCAGCTTCAATGACTCTGCAGTTCCAGAGTTGACGACCCGGCGCTTTGAAGATCTGTGGTTACTGGTGATTAAGTAAGCAGAGTGTGTGTAAATCCAGGCTGCCAATCACGATACCAACCATTGCTAAAACGTTCGCGAGTCCCGGTTCCCACGCAGCTGTCTGGTCCCTTATGGAATCCTTGAATTGTGCTCATGGAAGAGACCTGCACAATCCATGGGTCCCCTGGTTTCCTTCAGTTCCAGTTAATTCTTCCCCTCCCCACTTCATACTCAAGACTCTCTGTGTCCCGCCCCCCTCAACCACCATCCCTCCTAAACATTTTAGAACATAGAGCTGGAGGGGATCTTGGAGACCCTCATTTTCTAGAGGAGTAGAACCTAAAACCCTTAGTGGGGAGGGACTTATTTTTCTAGACTATAGAAAAGGGCCCTGAGCATTCCACTGGGTCCAGCTATTACCCACGTGACGTTGGGTGGAGTCGGGCAGCTGATCAACTGGGTGGATCCACACATTCCCCAGGACTCACATCCACTCTGTTCTGTGTCTAGGCTGTCATTTACCCCATTAACCCAGGCCACCTGGTGTTCCCTTGGGTCAAGAGGCTAAGGCAAATTCATAGGCATCAATAACATTTGTGTGTGTGTGTGTGTGTGTGTGTGTGGTGCTGGGGACTGAATCCAGGGCCTCGTGCATGCGAGGCAAGCACTCTACCAACTGAGCTATAGCCCCAGCCCTATAGTCCCATTCTTGTCACTATAGAAATCATCACTATTTCTAAACTATCTTCATTACTCCAACTGGAACTACCCACTACTTAAAATGTCCTCATTCCCCTCATCTCTTAGCCCCTGGAAATCATCAATCTACTTTGTTACTTCGTGCCTACAAATTTGCCTGCCTTGTCATGTGGATGGAATCACACAATGCTTGTCTTTTTGCTCCTGATCTTATTTACTTGACCTATGTTGCAGCAAATCATTCAGCAGACCTTTCCTTTTTGTGGTTGCATACTATTCCACTATATGGTTTTGTATATCCAGTATTTTGCCCCCAGAGGCCG